AGAATGTAGTTTTCATTTCAGTTGAATGGCCTGATTCGTTTACACTTATCCGGTAATAAGATGAAAAAATTCAGCGTTAAATCGAATTGCTTACAAAATCTTGTTGTATTGGATGTTTCCGGAAATGAATTCTCTACCTTATCCACTCATCTTTGGGAGGTTCTTCCTAGTCTAACAACAGTTGATATTTCTTCAAACCCTCTGTACTGTGATTGTGATATTATACCAGCTATCAAAGAACTATCAAAAAGTCCGACATCTTCCTTTAATCAGGTAAAATTAATTGCAAGTAGATTTCTTGAATTTAAGATTTCTACTTCACTCATCTATAATAGGAAACCGTTCACATGGCTTATTTGCATATTGCATTTGCGACAAATAGTACTATCTTACTTAAATTTAATTCTATAAATCCAGTTCCAGGGTTATGCGATCTGTGTTGCACCAGAATCTCGGAAGGGTCAAAATATCTTCGAGATTTCAAATTCTGCATGCAAAGACAGCCATCGGTTTGTATATTGGACTTTATTTGTTGTACTACTCTCTGCAACAACGATTTTTTATCTCATTTGTAGCAATCTTAACAAGCTGAGACGTTTAGCGCTTATTGCCGGTTACAGTAAGCTCGGAGGAGAAAATGAACAGATTGCTAGTAGTCCACAGCTCCTGTAAATCGACAATACTGACTTTTCTAGTGTATACCAAATTTTAGAAAAGAATCCCAATCAATTTCAGCCATATTACTCTTTTTATTTTTTGTTTACATTTGTCATAATATGCTTATCTTGTTTGTTTTTTTTTTTTTAAGTTCAATTCCTTTAGTAACTTTATTGACAATTTCTCTCAAATTCATAAATCTTAAAAAAATTTTTTTGCTTTCCAACCATCAGTCATTATTTCTTTTTATTTCATCACTGCCATCAGTCATTATTTGATTATTTCTTTTTGCTTTAGTAGTTTATAATGATCCATTACCAATTTCTCTTTCTTATGCCTTTGTTTTTTAAGTGACTAAAAGTTTGGGAAATTTTTTAAAATTTCAGCATCCCAAATGTGTGTTATTGTGTATTATAAAAATGTTATTTCGACACAAAGAAAAGAAGAAAATTGTCTCATTATATGTTAACTAACATTTATGAAAATTAAAACATTTATGATTCGAATAATCCATATGATTTTTAAAGGAGTTGAAAGACTATACTTTGATAATGCTCTAATTACATATATATGTTCGCATATATATTCTATATGCATATTTCACAGCATTTTATGGTTGTCTTATGATATCTAATAAATTCTCCACAATGAAGTTCAGTCGGATATCGAAGGTGTGAAAATTTTGCAAAAGTTCAAGTATTTCAAATAATTACCAATTGAATATATTGACAAAAGTATGCAATTGTAGCGAAGCAAAATGTTATGTTGTCGAAGGACTGCAAGGGAAAGCGAAAGGAATGAGGGAGAATTAGCGATCTATAATTAAACTGGTGATCTTCATGCAAACTAGTAATCTTTATCCATACCAGCAACTGGTAACCAAACTTTCAAATAATTAACGGCATTCTGTACCTTATTAACATGAGATGGAGTAATGTTTTCAATATTTCTTAAGAAATGGTGCATCGGATGTTTATCGTTTCTATTAGGGTCACTCATTTAAGTGTGAATTTAATTTTTATAGGTTGATCTGACACTTTAAAAGCTAGTGTATTTGGTCTTTCTTCGGAAGTTGACGTTTCATGCTGAATGTAAGAGCAGAATGCTTTCCGTGGTAGTAAAAAAATCCAATCCTTGATAGTAAAAAAAAAAAAAAAAAAATCCAACCCTAGTACTTTCCTCAAGGAACATGTTTGTTCCAAGGTTTTTGATATCGTTTTGTTAAATTTAAATTTAATTCCTTTCAATTAATCGATCAAAGGAATGCGACTTGATTTCAGCTTGGCAAAGATATTCAATTAAAAGTTTTATATAATGTGTAAGTTTTGAACCATTTTAAATTAAAAATTTGGAATTGCATAGACTCAATAATTTTTTATCTGATTTGAAATTTGAAAAGAAAGGAATGCATTAAAAATAATTGTTTTCTTGATCAGCTTATTGTACACTGAGATTTGTGTTGATTAAACTGCATCAATTAAACTAAATCTACATGAAAACTAATTGAGATTTGCGGGTATTTCCGAAATTGGCGCTTGTGACGAGGGGTCAAATGTCGATAATTTTTCACACTCAGTTTATTGAAATCTTTTGTAGTTCAAACGGTTTTTACATAAATGAAAATGACTTGATGTTATACACAAATCGTTTCAGTGTGACTTTATTTGATTACTTAGCAAAATGAATACAAGAATAGTTAGGAAGCAATGCAAATGCATTTAAAATGTCTGGAATATATACAACTATAAATGCCAGGCGTGGATTGGATGATTTCTGGATTTCTTTTTCTCTGTAAATTTTTTTTTCCAATTTTCCATTTTTTTCTGTGAAATTTTCCGAGACAAGAGATTACGCCTTTATTTTATAATTTCTTCGTTTCTCAAACAATTCCAGACAATAACGACCAAAAAACATTAGCTAGAGAGAGGCCGCATAAAACCACAGTTATGTATATGCTATGTATTTCAATGCTAAATTGTTCTTTGCTTCCATAGTTTCGTTTTTCATTTTGTAGTCTTTAAAATTAGAAGAAAATATCAAGTACGCCATTTTCATATAGTTTGATCCGATTGTTTATTGAAGTGTTGCTATGGTGGAAAATAATTTCTTCTGTACTTAAATATCATTTTCAAAATATAATTTAATCTTCCTGTCAGTCATTTTCCTTTATTTATTTATTTACATTTTCTGCGACACCAAGGATGTGTTTTTGAATTGATATTTATTGAAAACAGTTCTCAATTTCGTGTTTGATTGAATTGTACATTTTCATAGTTTACATGCTAAATGATAGAGAGAATTTGCGTGCGTTTTATTTAACAGCTTTGTGTTTTTTGACCTTACGCATAAGAAATGCAAATTTTTTGTGCAATGTGTTCATCGATTTGAAAGCTTTACAAAAATTTTGTTAGCACGAAGATTACAAGGCTGAGTGAGCATTTTCATTATTTTTGTACAGTTAAGACTAAAATAGAGGAAATGAAAATCATTTGTTCCCGAACATACATTATTATCATCTTTCCCGAAAGGAGCAGAATGCTTACATTGCTTATTTCTCAACACTCTCCGTCCTGCCCTCGCGTCTCATCACCGCTCCCTTCTATCTTACGTTGTTGATACAGTGATATGTCGGTGGTACGATGAATTGGCAGAAAGAGAAGCGATGAATGAAGCTGTCTATGATTCATGACTTTTTATGCATTTTTCAGAGCTTTGAAAATGTTTCGGTAAACGGCTTTAAATTCGTCTTTCAAATTCTTCTTTTTCAGTGTCGTCAAAATTTATGGACAATGGCTGGTTGGATTCAACAATGGACGACATGTCATCAGATATCAGTGTAATATTTCTCGTGCCACTTTATCTTATCATTGAAATGGTACTGTGAAATGAAAAGCGTTGCAAAGTTGTTATTTTTAAATTCTTATTATTTTATATTTGTATTATTCTGTTATTTTTTGAAGAGGAAGCTTTTTGAATGATGTAAAGTTGGAAATGATTCATCCCTTACAATCAGTTTCATCTCTAATTATTTCAAGTAAGTCCATTGTCACGTTATTTACTGCAGTTTCTTGCAATTCAAGAGAGCAAATATGCGATAAAACCACGCTTGGCCAGATATCTTCTTAGTCCTATCAAGCAAATCAAAAAAAAAGATCTAAAACTTTAAAAAGATCACTCGAATGCTTATTTAAGGATACAACGATGAAGGATCTGTGATAGTCATGTGATTATTGATGACATTACGGTGACACTTTTATTTCCTTTCCGCTCATACTGTTCAAAAAATAATTTAAATTAAAACGAGAGATGAGTTCGAGGAATGAGAAAGGAATTGGAGAATGAGGCAGAGAAAGAAATAGTGATGGAAAAAGAAGAAAAGATGAGGGATTAGGCCGAGATGACCCTTCCCAACATTCCTCTTCCATTCTCCTCAAAATTCATCAACTTTCTCATTTAATCTGTACAAAAGGTAGAAGTTGTTTTTTCGAGGAGACTTATTGACCTGAATTCGTAATTTGCATTCAACGCACTAATTAGGAGGACTGTGTCTTCAAATTAACTTGTTTGTAGACCAAAAGTATCTGTAACGCTCCTTCCCTCTTCAATGTTGGTTGAATTTCTAAGTTTTTGGAATAAGCGAATGTGTGATCTCTTCTGTCTCTGTTCAACGTGAAATATCATACTGCAAAACAATGACAGCATCGCAAGAAGAGATCTCGAAAAGATCAACAATTTCTTGCTTCTCATGTGGAGTTTGTTAATTCATCCATTTACCAACATTTTTATACAGTGGTAGACTGATTACAAGCCATTATGTTTCAGTCGTGACTTAAGTTACTATCAGTTCATGATATCTAAATTACTTTGTAAATTCAATTTGATTTAATCAATAATGAGATGCATCAAGTGATTGTTTGAGAAGGAATTCGACATCGTTCTACCAGCGACTTTTTTTGGCGGTGTTCAACGAGCAATTCAAAAAGGATAGATTAGCTGAGCAGAACTGCGTGATTCCTTCTGACGAGAATCTCTGCTTGCGTGGTTACACGTAAACTATTTATCATCAACCTGAATGCCATGGTTAAGAAGCACAGTTGTACACGTGTGAACATATAGCAAGCACGTCATACATACACGTCTGCCTGCATTTCGCTTCCACACCAACTGCAACAGCAATGGGAAAGTGCTCTCAGTGTTTGCTGTGCATGTGTGCATGCATTACAGTGTTTCTGGGTTTGTTACATGACTGCATGCACCTATCAGTTCGGCATTTTCCTGTGTTGATGTTCGTGACGGTATGCGCCCTTCTTTGCAAGATGTTAGGTGCAGTTAGAGAAGCAGAGATGGAGAGTTGGCGGGTGTGCAGAGGAGAGGAGAATGGGAGGGAAGTGGGCTGTGTGCTGCCGCAAGTGTCGCTTTTGTTAGACGGAAGAAGCATTCGGGTCCTAGGGATGGCTGGTCCCTCGGACTGTCCATCATCTGAAGGTTTCTCCCTCTCTCCTGTTATGTGTATTGTGTGTTGTGTATATATATATATACAGGCCGTGTGCTTAGGTTTGTTTGTGGCATCGGAGAGGATTCATTGTGAAAGTTATTTCAGCGATCATCGCAAATTGTTCAAGTTTAAGCTGTAAAAATGAAAGGTTCGGTTCCATTTGGTGCTCTTAACTAACTTCATACAATCTCTCTCTTTGATAGACCATTTAAATTGAAGAAATTGTCTCCATTGTTGTTGTTATCACTGATTACATTTTCATATCCCATAGATTAAGCCTGATTTTATTGATAAACAGATTTGATTGGAATGTTCGCATTCCAATCTCTTCCTCACCTGTTTTAATGGTATATCATTGTCGTACCCTTGCAGGAGTGTGGTAGAGTTGTGCGCGACAAATTGATTGTCCTATCCGATCATGCTGTGCGCTACTCGTTTACTATCCATTTCATTTGATAGGACCACAAAATGCACTATATGATTGGTTTATAAGTTTTGGTGTGGATTACATTGAAGTTGAAAGCATTTGCTACAAAGCATAGACCAGTATGAACTATGGTCAATTCAGAATTTGAATTACACATTTGGAAATAGGAAATATTAATGAATCGCCAAGGGATTTTTATTTCCGATAAACGTCCTTTTCTACTTTCATTTGTCTCACTTAAACTTTTCATAAATAGCTAACAGACAGGAAGGAAAAGAATAAGGGGGTATATTTCACTGACTCATCGGTGGTTTGCTTTCAGAAAGAAAAAGTTTATCAAACATTTTCCCATTTTTATATGATCATTTTCTGTTTATTCATTTAAAGGGTTGCATGAGAACTTTTGATATTATGTTTAATTATATTAAAATACATTTCTTATTGCATTGAAATGTATTAAAAAATGTCGATAAAAGAATTTCATTTTATGCATAAGTCGTCAGTGATTCTTGTGTAAACTGGAATTCTGTAGAACTTAACGTTCCTCCTAAAATAAACGTTAATGGCTGCTTTCCTGATTGGTTCATGTCGGATTTTGCAATTTCCTTAGTGTTCATTAAAGTTTCCATTAAATTCGGTTGCATTTGTCTACTGTCGTAGGAAATTTTTTGTTGTTATTTCATTAACTTTTTAATTTTGTCTGCTATTGCTATGTTTACAAGGAAGTGAAAAAAATTGAATTTATGATAATAAGTGAGCTGCCCGCTTTAATCGTATATAAAAATTTTTGGAGGAATATGCCGGATTTCAGTCGAATAGAGAAAAAGTTCTAAACCCGTGTTGTCTTATCAGTGGTGGAAATATTATTATCAGTGAATATATTAACCTCTTTTTAGACAAGCGATCGTTCCGATGTTACATGACTATCTGTTATTTCTGTCATTTTATTTGCAGAAATTCTTAATTTGTCTCTCTCTAGATGCGTAGCTGCTGAATCAACACGGTCTGTTGCCGCTTATCAAGAAATTCCTATCTAACAGATAAGCCTGTGTAGTATACATTCTTTAATAAAAGCTGCTCCCTGGTTCCATTCAGGAGCAAAATTAATTTGTAATCTTTGAATTAATTTGTAGCGAAAGGGAAAGATTGAAATGTGCAAGAGAGTAACTATGATTTCAGTAGAATTCACTGGAAAATCAGTATTTTTTTTTTTCATTTTTCAGGTATTGTTGACGAAAACATTGCTTTGCAGTTTTCTTATCACATATGCGAAGAATAATTTATGAGAAGTGAAAATCACTTCGAATAAGTGAGATTATTATAATCCCTGATGAAGGAGATTAGGCGACGGTATCTTCATTATTTGTCAAAAACCATGTTTGATTTTTATAAATTTTTAGAATGTACCAGGTTTAAAATTTTTATAAATTTTTAAAAAAATTTAAAATGTAATCAAGTTGTGATGTATAATGTATGGCTGAATACACCAAGAGATTTTCCTACATTATTTCATCAGGAAAAAGCTTATCAGAGTTTTTTCTTACATTTGTTTCATCTTTTGAATTTGAAGAACAAGAACCAACTGCTTTAGCACAACCTACTTCACCAATGATTTTGAAAATCCTCTTTTTCTGATATTTCTAAGGAATCATAGCTATATTTGAAAGTTGCTGACTATTTCATCACCTGCAGACGATAACGATTTGAATTTTTTGTTTAAAAATGCATGATATTGTGATTATTGATCATTTGACGACCACAGGTTGGTGTTTACTGAATAGCGTATAAGGAATAACTGAAGTAAGAAATAAGGATTTTTCGATTCGACTTGTTAGGAATCAAGTAATATTGTTAGTTTTGAAGTTGCTTTTTCATGTTATTTAATACGTTTTTCGGGATCTTTTATATTTTTATGAACCTTAGGATCAAAATGATTTATAGAATTAAAGTATTTTTATGCTTAGTGCTTCAATCCATTTAGTGTGATGTAACCATTGTCACTTCAATTCCATTTCCCAAATTCCGTTATTGCTACTGTAGTTGTTACTAGCTTCTCTTAATTTATCTCTTTCTACATTTGCTACGTGATTTGTTCATTGCTTTGTATGGTTTATCCCACTGATTACTTCTCATGGACAGAAATTGATGAGTTGTGGGCTTGTATCTTCGTCAGAATTTCTTTTTGATCGTAATAAGCGAGGTGCACTTTCAAAATCTTTGGACGCCGAGTGATCATTACCCTTACTTACGTGATTTAAAATTAAATTAAATTCAAATATTCCGGCGAATGAAATGACCACATTATTTATTTGTAGGATTTAATTCAATGGAATCCAGTGTAAAAAGTACTGATTGCTTCAAAAAAGAATGTTGTATTCTTGATTACTCTTTCACAGCTCTTTGCTATAGCTTTACTTACTTGCAATTGCTTGCTGCTATAAAGTCATTAATGTAAGTGAATAGATTACAACATAAGGATGAGAAACTTCTTTGCTTCCTGAAATTATTGCCTTCAATTTTATTACATAGATTACTGTCCTATAGATTAGATACTCTCACAAATCTAAATTTCGTTTACTTTTGTACGGTCCTTTTTTGGATTTACAGCTTTTCTAATTCATATTTCCTTAGGAATTATTAAATTGTTTTACTCATAAAATTCATATTCGTCATTCTTTCAGCTACCATACTGGAGGGAACAATTGTATGTATGAAATATTGGTTTTGAAGATGTATGTTGTTCAGATTAATTGGCTCTTCATATCACCTCTAAATTTTTCATATTTTATAAACTCTCTGATATATTCGTCATGTTTATGCCATGGTTCCTTGTATAATGTTCTGCTTTATTCTCTACTTTCTATTTTTGGTTTATTTCGCTTCTTTGATCTTATAGTTTTACCAGTAAATTTAAATAATTATGAAGTAATTTGATTATACTATCATTTAGATTTGAACACTGGAATATTAGGAACATCTCAGCCAAATTATAATTTAGACTTTGTTTTGAGATTTTCAGGGAGAATTTTTGCAAGAATTTTTATAGAAAGATTCTAATTTTCTGTTCAGTGTTTTCTCTTTCGAATCCAAAAGGCTCCAAAAGCTGTTTTTTGATTTTTCTCAGCCATATTTTTTCTAGCATTTGTACCGCTTTCCACAAAGGATGCTTTTAGCAACGGTTTTTGTTGCGTGGCTTGGATGAAGTTGGTTATTTTTATAGCCGAACTGTGACAAGTACTTGTTAACTGTGTTTTCTGATTTTCATTTATTTTAAGTATTGCTTCATCTTTGGAAACTTCCAAATCGTTTTGTTTGACCCATGTAATAGATAATCGGTGATATCTCATTCCTGTAGTTACTTATCAGTTATGACAAGTGTTATAGTTAGCAGTTAATGAAGAGCTTCTGAAATTTAAAAAAATATTAATACGGAAGTAAAATTTCTAAAGTAAGCTAAAAATAGCGGAATCAAGTTTAGTTTCATCTATTCTGTTGTTTTTTGGTGACAGTTCTCTTTCAACAAATTCGAGTTAATTGTGGACTTTCTCCATACTGTGCCTAGAAACTTAGCATAGAGGTATGAGATTAATTCCATAGACATGTCCATGCTTGTCATATGTGCACTTACTGAAAAAAATCCGATGATTGAATGTCTTTTAATACTAAATTTAATTTCGTGGAGATTATTTCACTTAGATTAAAACATCACGAGTATATTTTCCAATGATGTTTGGATTCTCCATCCTGATTTTCTATTGGAGAACTATTGTAAATTTAATGCTCTTCAAATTTCTTGCCTAATCTGGGTGTAAGACGAGCACTCGTATCTGATGTACTGACTTTACTGCTTTATCTCTCATTTTATAGATATCCCAAATCACCCACACATATTTATGAACTACTTTCTGTGCATTACTTGATAAGAGAAGGGAGGCAGAGAGTTAGTTTGCTTTTTCCTAGTAAGCGACTGAGATGATTTCTTTTCATACCGATACCATCTAGCAATAGCTGAGATGCGAAATAATGCATTGAGTGAGAATGCTTTCTCTTTCAGTGGTTCGCTTGTGTTGTGTAATTCACATGAGATTAAGGGATACTTTTGTGATTAGATGATATGAATAGAGTACCACTTCAAGGTTACATCACTTCCTTTCTGAAACACCCTAAAAGCCTGATCCATCCTGTGGTGCAAGTGATAAGGTAGTGTTTATTTGCTTTATATGAGTGGTGGGAGTTGAAATAGTACTGCTGAAGCAGTGTCAAAAAGAACATTGGTTTAAATGAATTTGTTGGATAGCATTAGAAATCCGATTTGGTCGCTATCCAGGTTTTAGTTTTATCAGTTAAACGATTTTGTTTTAAACAAAACCTCTTAAATGTGAATTTCTGCCACCTTATTCTTCTCACTGCTTGGTGTTACTTATTTTAGTTGTTTGTAAGATTCTTTACCACCACTTAATGTATACTCAGTGTTATTTGTGGTAGACTGCATTTAAATATTGAGTGGGAGTCTTCTTTTATGAAGAATGGCGTTCGTAATATGCGATTTGTAGAGCTAACATTTGTGGTAAAGAGGAGAAAAGGTTGGTACTGATAGGGAATTGTCTACTTTGTACAGCGCATTTTACGGAATCAGATATCTCATTTGCTTATTATTTTAGTGCGGTTTGTTATGTTTGTATTTGGTTTCTATGTAGTATTTGGTTTCTATATAGTATACAGATATGTTTATTATTGAACCTTATATTGATTGATTTTTCTTGCAATAAGAAATGAATAGATATTCAGGAGTTTCCGAATAATCAGGAAATTCGTCATCAGCACGTGAATACAAGCATTACCAGGAAGTTGTCTTGCTTAAAATCAGTAACACTAAATCAGTTTCTAGGACGTTTATTTCATTGGTTTTTCTCGTGTCACTTGCCTCCAATAACGCAATATTTTCGCATCCTTGTTAAAACTTGCAGCATTTCAAAATCATATATAGCATCAGTTGCGTAAATAATCACTGGCCCAATTTAAGACCATTTATAGACATAATGGTCAGATGTTTAAATTATAAGACTCTTCCATGTGTTGAAGAGATGTAAGATTTTCATTCCTGAAGATATATTTTTTTTTGTTTTTATGACATTCAAAACATGCGGAGCGTTTACAAATGGTATAAGAGGATGGATTCTGAAATAAAAAAAAATCTTTTTTCAGGACTAATAGTCATTAATAGCAGAGAAAAGTGAAGCAAAGTGTGATTGATAACCACTGTTTTTTGATAACTTAGGCGCTATGTCTAAGAAGGCGGTAAGTTTCGCTATTTATATTGCTTCCCTATTGTGAAGTTGTTCAAGCTGTAATGTTTTTTTTCTAATCTAAAATTTTTTGGATATAGCATGCGGTTATATGACATGCGTTTACGACAGCCAAATTATTAAATGTTGTGCGTATAAATCGACGATATAGATTGTCATTTTGGGGGTATAATGTTCCATAAGATGAAAGCACAAAATTGAAGAATCTTAGCGCGGTGTCATATTGCAGTAATGTGCATTTATCATCATTTATCAGGGGTAATTCGTCAGCAGAGCATTCTGAAGGACTGAAACTAAGCAGGTACTGTAGGGAAAAGGTAGAAGTCACGGAAAAGGCGATAAATGTTCTGAAATGGTTTTCAACTGAATAAAACTAGGTGGATCTTCGATCTGATTGAAATCAAGGAAGCATGTTCAGGTTATCCAAAAAATGATGCGTGGTTATTACTGTCTTTCTTTATCTTCTTTGATATCTTGAAAAAAACTAAAATATTTTGAGAAGAAATTAAAGTATGATGAGTTGATATTATTGCTAGGCCTTTTTGTAGTTCAATTATACAAATGGAGTTTCAGAGTAGTTCTTGTAATTCTGTTTCATTTTTCAAAATATTTCTTTGTTTCATTGGTTCTTTCTTGTAATCTGAGATATTATTAAAAATGTTATTTTCAGATAAACGTACGGGTGACGACGATGGACGCGGAGCTGGAATTTGCCATCCAACCAAGCACAACCGGTAAGCAGCTATTCGACCAGGTCGTCAAAACAGTTGGCCTTCGTGAGATTTGGTATTTCGGATTGCAGTACACGGATACAAAGGGTTTCCTTACATGGCTTAAGCTGAACAAAAAGGTTTGCTTCGCTAGTTTTTTTTTTTTGATAAATTTTTTTTTGACAATTTTAGAAAGTAATTAAAAAGACAGAATCTTTTAGTAATAATTTGTTCCAGGTCACAGCGCAGGATGTAAAAAAAGAACAAACTTTGTTGTTCAAATTCCGAGCCAAGTTCTATCCAGAGGATGTTCAAGAAGAAATAATCCAAGATATTACCCTTGTAAATCTTTCTAGATATTGTTGGGAATAATGGTTATATAACATGGAAGTGATATCTGATTTTGATTTTTTTGTAAATAAAAAATTCACAGGATCTAAAGGATTTCGCAACCCTTTGAGTGTTTCAGAGACTTTTTTATTTGCAAGTAAAGGATGCTGTACTTTCGGATGAAATTTACTGTCCACCAGAAACCTCAGTTCTACTTGCATCGTTTGCAATGCAAGCTAAATATGGCGACTACAATCCGGAATCGCACAAGCCGGGCTGTCTTACTTCTGATCGGTTACTACCACAAAGGGTTATTGGACAGTTCAAATTAAGGTTTTCCTCTTTTTTGGATTTTTTTTATCATACTGATGAACTTTTGACAGGTGATATTCACTCTTCTGACTTATATTTTTAATCCAAAAAAAAAAAAAACTGTACTCATTTTTTCTCTCAAACTGTCGTTCAAACTATAATGAAATTGCTAACGGATAAGTCATATTTAATGTTTCTTTTGCATATTTGTCACAGTTAGGATTTTGCCGCAAGTTATCCCGAAATTACTTGGTTTGAGAATATTAGTGGTTTAATTATCTGAACCAGAAGTAATGCCAAAATAATAGTTTTGTCAAAATTTAGATTTGTTTGGAAAATATGATTTAAATTAAATTATCTTTTCAGTCCTGAAGAATGGGAGAAGCGTATAATGGTTTGGTGGGCGGACCACAAGAATACGAATAGAGAACAAGCAATGGTGGAATACCTAAAAATAGCGCAAGATCTTGAGATGTATGGTGTCAATGTTAGTTACACTTTATATGAAGTTCTATTTATTCTCAAACTTGTTTTTATCTTTTAATTGAATTGGATTTAGTTCTCAAATAAGTCCTACAACATGAAGGAAAATTGTGCATTTAATGGGACTTCGGTTATTTTCGACACATTGAGATCATTTTTAATGCTATTTTGTGTAAGATTGGATGCATAGTAATTTACTGTACAGTATAATGATTCATATAGTGTAATTTAAAGTGGTACATCTCATTTAACACTGCAGTGCACTATAATATATTTTTTATTACATTAAAAACCTTTTTTATCCTTATCTAATAGTATGCTAGATACAGTAGGAGGATGAAAAAGTGGAGCACATATAAATCAGTCCAAAAAACGCTAAATCAATTAGACTGGTCCTCCAAATTCATCTTTTCGTTCGTGTTATTGTAAAAATTCTGTAAATTATTTTCTGCGTTCTAGATTTGTTGCTTCAATTATGCACATGTATAAATAATTTTAACGTGTACAAATAGCTGGTATAAATTATTTAATTTCCACTATTTGCAGTATTTCGAAATTCGTAATAAGAAAGGAACAGAATTGTTTTTGGGTGTTGATGCCCTTGGACTTAACATATACGAAAAGAATGATCGCCTTACACCCAAAGTTGGCTTTCCGTGGTCCGAAATACGAAATATTTCATTTAATGACAAAAAATTTGTTATTAAACCAATCGACAAAAAGGCAAATGTAGGTGTTTCCAGTCAGTTATTGTACTCTCAGTAATTTTTTATTTCCGATGAGACATAAAAGAAGTGTTTTTAGATACATAAGATTTATAGACACATAAGATGAAACTTTAATTGTTCATCACGTTTCATTATTTCTTTTTTAATGTAATACATTTATATAAATACTTTGGTGCTTCATATTGAAAGTTTGATATTAAATTGTGTAAGTTTATTAGTGCTAATAGTTTCCAGGACTTTGTATTCTATGCTCCACGTCTGCGAATAAACAAACGGATACTGGCACTATGTATGGGTAATCATGAGCTATATATGCGCAGAAGGAAGCCAGATACGATTGAAGTGCAGCAAATGAAACAACAAGCCAAGGAAGAACGGATGCAGAGACAGCTTGAGCAAGAACGCCTGACAAAAGTTGGTTACTAATTAAAATAGAACCGTAAAACTAATGTGAAAGTTAATAAGCGGTATCTTGTTCATTTTTTTTTTTCAACATATTTGACTTTAAAGAATTGATTTACGTGCGGTATGGGTAGTGTGGACATTATTATCGTAACCAGATATGTTTAGTTACAGCTGAGAATGTTAATTATATTTCGTCCTAATATTTTTATGGTACTTATTTTGTAATATTTTTCAACTTTGAGAGTTGGACTATGCAGCACTAATAATATCGTTTCAAGAGGGATACATAGTAAATGCAAATAATCGTATCACTTTATTGTCTTCGTTAAAATTTTTCCTCAAAACTGTAGGAGATGACGGCACGTGAAGCTGCTGAGCAAAAACAGAAGGAATATGAAGAAAGGATGGAGAAAATGAGGGAGGAAATGGAAAGGGCCCAACGAGAGTTGTTGCATGCACAGGATACTATTCGACGTCTTGAGCAGCAGCTTGCAGAACTTCAGGTTGGGTTTAATTTCATGGTATCTCTGCGTGAAGACTTCTTTGTTGTTGATTATTTAACGAGAATTAAGTTGATTAAAGATTTATTAGAAAGGGGGTAAAAGGCATGAATGAGTTATGTTAAGGAATAAAAAGCGAATTTAACAAATGGAGTTTGCAGATCGCTAAGGAACAGCTAGAATCAAAGGAAGATGAATTACGAAGGTTAAATGAACAATTGCGATCAGAACGAGAAATGAGTTCTGAAGAGCGTGAACGCTTAGAGCAGGAAGTGCGAAGACGTGAACAGCAAGTAGCTGAAATGCGCGAACAAGTTGATATGAAGACTCAGGAAACAGAACGCTTGCAGAGAGAAGTCGAAGAAGCACGAGCTGTTCAAGAACGCGAAAGTAGTCGTCAGCTGAATACATTTAGCGTTAAGGAAGTAGATTTGGATGAAAATGCTAGTGAAAATGGACAAGTTGCCACAGGTGCGTTGAAACTCATATCAGTAAATGAATATATACTCATGGAATTGCATTCGTGTCTCGTTTGCTATTGCTCAAAATGTTTAATTTTAATGCAATGATTCAAACTTATCTTAGTGGAAATTCAAATATATATAGTATTGTTTCTGTATATTGATTCAATTGCAGAATTGACTGCTCGTGGTGACGAGAACGTTCCACAAAGAGAACTTGAACGAATAACCGCTGCCGAACAGAATCTCTCGTTGAAGCACAAACTTGATGTAATTTTATTTAGTTTTTCTTCGCTCTCGTTTTGTTATGTCTATAAAAGTTATGAAAGTGCTTGATGTGATTTACAATTTACTAAACAATTTTTTTTTTTTTTTTTTTTTTATAGGCTCTAACAGCAGATTTGGAAGCGGTAAAGGATAAACAGCAGTTGACGGAATACGATCTATTACATATGGAAAATAAACGAGCTGGCCGAGATAAATATAAAACATTACGACAAATTCGTGGTGGGAACACAAAACGTCGTATAGACCAATATGAAAATATGTGAAAATGATTCATCGCTTATTTTCCTTAATTGTCCTTATTCTGTGCTGGTTATATTTTGTATCGTCACGATTTTGATTTTTTTCAGTAGCCAGTGCACTGATTTGCTTATTTTTAACTTACTGAAATATTATAACCCCGAACCACTTATCATTGGGAAGTATTATTGTTTCCAACCAATCTTAATTAAGTTATGGATTTGGCTTTTTCTTGGTAGAAACTGAGTGGAAACTGCAACATGATGTGGAAAAAGATTCATTTAAGTCGAAATTGGATTTTCGGAATACTAGTTATTTTCCGTAGATGATGCTACTCTTCACACTTTAAGTTGTTCGGGCAGTTATCAAATTGTTATGGCATAAAGTGCATTGCATATACTAGAGACTGATGTGTTTGTTTTGTGTGTTTTATCATCGCATGACTTTGTGCCGCACGTCATTCACAAAACATATTGTTTTCTCGTCAAAATTCATTCCCACCTTCAGCAACCTCACTTGGTCTGCTTTTTCTTTTACCAACGCCAATTAAATTGCTATCTTGGAAGATCTTCATGCCCTTTACATGTGGAATTTCTGCTTTGAAAGTTGTGGATGTATACTGTTAATCAATCAACTGCATTGTGCCTTTTATGAGAAATTTTTTTTTCTTTTACTAGTTGCAAATTATCCTCTGCTCAAGTGAAGAAATGACTGGGCGAGTTTGGAATCTATGACTAAGTTCCAGTAGGCTTCTTCCTTCACCCTCTCATGATTTAGCTATGTATTAAACAGGTTTCGATCAGTTTTTGCTGGAAAAAACTGTCTGTATTCAAGGAAAGAGAAAGTGGTTGTGTATTGCCTGTTAAGTTTTAAACTATGGATTTGTCTTGAATTTTTTTCTTGTTTCCAGTTTTTCAGATCCAATTTGTTTATGTCCTTTTCATCCATTTTATTCGCCATTCATATAAATGGTGATGCGCAATTAAATAACCATTTGCCTTACTCGGGAAATAAAATGTGCTGGATTTTGCAGCCAGTTTGGTTATGTTTTTTAGGGAACTTTTCGACTTAGTAGAATTTGGTTTGTTGATGTGCACTTTGCTAAATTAGGGATTAAAGAGAGGACGAATAGCAGATATTAGGCAAACCTAGTCATAGAACAGTTACCATCTGAGGTAAATATTTCGGGAAAGCAATGTGTCTGCCATTTATTCCTTTATTAGAATTGGGTTGGTTATAACATCTAGCCTGTATCGTCTTCATAGGCGACCATAGAAGTTGTGCCAGTTGTGATGTGATGTTGATTTCTGAGGTGTGTGATGCATGTTAGTCATGAGGATAAGCAACTGTTTATAATAAGGGCTTCAGTTTCTTTAAGGTAGTAAATGCTGGAACTGCCTTGAAAATGGTAAGTATTAAAATATGTGTCCTATAACAGGTAAACATTAATGCAACCTTTCCAGGAATAATGATTGTACTGTACAAAAATTTATTGTTGTACAAAAGTGCCTGTAGCAAGATTGATGGGTATCGAAATATATATCTTATAATGGTAAAACGACAGAGTAGTAGGCCTAGATTTCCATTCTTTAATAAACACATGAGAGTGAATGATCCAGCTTGCCATGACCCGGATCATTTCGAGAAACTAGCACATGAAGTTCCACTCGGTTAGTTTCTTTATCTTTTCCTTCGATTCCTATGTTAGGTTGTTGAAGGCAGTTACAATTAGTGTATTTGTAAAGAGTACCAATATACCATCGATGGAATATAGATATGGAAGTCTGCAAAAAGAATATTACTCGGTTTCAAACAAATTCTGAAACATCAATGAATTGGAACTTTATTTCAAGATGAACGGTATGTAGATACGCTATCGCTTTTATGGAAAGAAAAAATAGGAAGTGAACGAGAAGTAACATTAAAAGGCGATGATCGAATGATTGGAAAGAAACCGCAAAACTGGGTACCAAACATTAACGAGAATTCACCTAAAGCTAATTATGCAGAACTGGACTGGGAAGGAATACCGGAACCGGTGAAGAAGATTTTTAGGTAGGAAGAACTAAATTAGTATTTTATTGGTTTAATCGTCAATGCATGTGGTGATTACATTTGAAAATATACTGGTTGGTTATTCTATTCAAATATATTACTTGCTCTTGTGCGTTTTGCTATGCCACAAGAAATGCTTCGCCATCAGTTGGAATTGGTAGATACAGATATCATTAAAAATGACGGAATTTTATATTGTTATAATTACTTTGGCTTAGTTTCAGTATACGTTATTACCTTTTCATAGTGATCGATTTTTTTTAAATAAAGCATTTAAAAATAATTATGTTTCAAATTTTAGTTTGATATGGCAATTATTGCCGACTGTAAATTTGCTGTCGTCATATGCTTAAAAGCTGATACAAACTAACATGAAGGTCGGAATGAATGTACAATGACAAGGAGTTTTATGATAATTATTTTACTGGATTCCAAATTTTCTGTATTAAAAATAAAATTGATATTTTCAAGGTTCCGGTTTTCAGCATTAAATTTGGCGAACGGCGAGATTATTCTGATGCGTGGAAAAAAGCTCTGATTGATAAAGTACGAAAGCATGAACTCGATATAAACTCATTAGAAGTAAAAAGTGAGTTGGTAAAGTAAAACCAAACTTGAAGGACTTTATATTGCGTTTGATGGATATTTGTCAAAGCGATTGGGATTTCTAAAATTTGTAGAAAAAAGGAGAAAACAGTGTAGAAAGCAAAAAGTTAAAAGTCTCAATTCCATAAAAATGTTAGAAAGTTGTTATTTGTATGCAAATTTTTGGAACAGAGGGATGGATGAAGAAAAATTGTTGTGCTCGTGCAGTTCAGAGTCCCATCAATTTAAATAAAAAATCATTTTAGTTGCTTGGTCAACCGGTGTGATACGTTCATGGACTTTGCTGGTAAAACAAATAGATAACAAACCAAAGGTATAGTGCTGTATTTATTTTTTGATTTGTTTTAGCCAGAAATTTCTGTGGGAATAGCTGAGTTGATTTTGTAAGGAATTATGGGATTTAGTGTTGACTTCGTAATGGGCTTGGTATTACTGCTCACCTGTTTATGTAGAATAGATAACTCAGAAACTTTTTGTTGATAGGAAGTAATGTGATGTGCAATTGCAATAATTTTAAGCTTTTAACAAATAATAAAATGAAGTTTTTACAGAAGCCAGCTCATATCGTACACCCTCTTCACTTAATGATAGCATTTCGTCGAAAACTCTTGCGGCAGTTACGCGAAGTAGACACAGCAGCTTTTGAAAAGGTTTCATTTCATAAATAGCGAAACGACATTTTCTTTCTGTTAGCATTCATTATTACTTCTATTCTCTTCCTAAACGATTATTTGGTCATAAACGAGTATTTAGATGACCTAATTTAAGGTATTATCGGAATTAAAAATCGCTTATCATGTACCAAAGCGTCCGGAAGAACAGATTGAAAAAAAACGAAAAGCATGGGTGGAAGCTCTGTTGAAGGAAAGGATTGCCATGGAAAAAGATATTAAAATGGAAGAATTAAACAAAAGATTTATTGTTGAACGGATACAGTGTGGACGTGAAGTAATTTGACAGTTATAGACAATTTGTAGGAAAAGATTTTTTTTTTTAAAGAATTTTGTTTTTTCCTTAAAAAAGATTTTGTCGATACAAAGTAATCAAAAAATTTCTTATAATTCTGTAACGCTGTTGTTTGAATTCTGTGAATATCCGTGCAAACCTTACAGATAAAAAAGCGTCTAGAAGAATTGGACAGTGAAGAAACAGAAATCAAGACACGTCTAAAGGAACTTGCAAGAACTCAAGGGGAAATGCCAAATAATGTACCAATATATCAGCCAAAATTGATAGAAGAATTGTCGGAAATAGCAGCTCACGCAATTTTGTATCATCGTCCCGATGATTCTCACCGAAGAGATAAATTACTTACTGCATAAGTGAATTAAAATTGCACAGTTGTCGATGACTTTTGTTTTTTGATAGGTACAACAGTCTAGACTTCAAACAGAATTAGCAGAAGGAGTTTTATTCCATAAAGTTCTCACATTTCTAATGTAAATCTCTTAACCACTGAAATTCGTATCAGATTTTAAAGATAAGAGTATTCTGTATTGTCTGTTCAGGAAGTAATTGTTATTTCCGTATCAGATTGTTATGTTCAATTCTGTTATAACGCATTTTTGTGTTTTTTTCAAGTACGATTATGTAAATAAATTCATTTCTATAGAAAATCTTTCACAGCAAATATGAATATTTACGTCCCCCCGTTTGAAATTCCCTCTCTTTCTTATTTGTCGAATAAATAATGGGTGAGTAGTAGTTCCCATCACTGTGCATATGCGCGAGAGGTGTGGTTTTACATCTTCGCGTATTTGTAGGTCAGTGAAAGAGCCGTCCTACTGGCAGTGTTGGTTGACATTATTGCTCTCGGATGTGGTCACCGATCAAGCTGTTTTCTTTTGGAATCTTCTCTGCCTCTTCTTCTTTATCACTTGACTTTTTATTAATTCCAAGAAATGGATTACTGTGTAGTTTAGGGGATTGTCTCAAGTTAGACAAATGCTCTATTGAAAGTTCGAGGGAGAATTTTTGCGCTGTTTGGATGGTTCTTCCTTTGTTTTATAGAACTTATATCCAAATAGGGAAAATTTTCCCGCTGGTAGAAAAAATGCGGCACACCAAAATGTCTGATGATTTAAGAAGTTTGATACACATTTTTCGTTCAAATCGTAAGCTTCTCATTTCACTGCATTTTTTTTTCTCAAGATCGTAAACTTTCAAAATTCTAGCACTTGTTACTATAATCTCATTATTCGATGTTTCAAATCTGATTTTGTTAAATTAAATTATCACCTAATTAATTTTAAAAGATATAGCTATAGCTAGCCATACTTTCAAGTATTTGGGTTCTTTCAGAAGGTTAACTTCAGTGCAATTATGTCATTTATGCTTGCAGCTTGCATTTATCAACAGATTGCATGTATGCGGACGTTCGACTGTATCGAAAGGCCGCTATCTCGACTGTTCTATCGGTACGGCCAATACGTTGCGCAACATCCGCTACCATTCATTGCTATCCCAGTTCTAATTACTGCGCTCTGTTCAATTAGCCTCCTTCACATTCATCCCGTTACTGATCCTGTTTATCTTTTCACTCCCCGAAATGCGCCGAGTAAATACGAACGACAAATTATTCATAATCTTTGGCCTTTGTATTATAATAATTATATTCCTGGTCGAGCAGTAACACAGTCCCGAGAAGTACAGGTACCGTTATTGCATTTATTACCGTTATTTTCATTTATTCTTCTTTGTTTTTATTTCGAAAATTTTCCTTTTTTTTTCTTATTTGATGTGTGAAATTTAAATTTCTTGGAGAAAAATATATTACATGGCGAAATGTCTCAAAGCTTCTTCAACATTTGTTTCTTATTTGTGTATTATAGCTACTATTCAAATGTCAGTACGAATAGTGGAAAATTCATCAATTAAAAGGAAAGTATTAAAAAGAAATTAATTGGCAGGTAATAGTGGTAAGCCGAGATGGCGGTAATATTCTGGAACGACCATATTCTGAAGCAGTGCGACGTTTGGATTTTTTTATTCAGAATCGTGTCAGATTATATTATATGGGCAAAACATACAGGTAATGAGTATTTTTAAACCGCATTATTATATTATGTTCATTTAGATTTATTATTATTCCTGAAATCATTTATGATATGACTAATGCTTCTAATTAAAGACAAGTAGTCTTAGAAAAGTTTAGCTACCAATTACAAATGAACATGAACTTCAAGTTTGCTGGGATTGTTTAAATTATCTTAGTTATTTACAAATTTATTAACATCTTAATTTTAATTCAATAACAGGTATCACGATTTATGTCTAAAATGGCGTAATGAAGGATGTCCGGGAAATAAGCATATCCACATTGTCAGTGATCTTTATCAACATGGCATCAATGTCACATATCCAACTGTGCGATTTGGCTCTGCGTATGTGTTATTTTGTAAATATTTCAAAGTTTATTTGTCACTCTTTGGAATTTAAGCATAACCGAAACAAATTTTAGAATATCTGAAGTTTTGTTAAGTAATAGGTAATTGAGTGGTGAAAATTGCCAACTCATGTAAATAATTGAAATTCAGGCAACATTTATCGAAGTATGCACTCCCTTTTTTATCGTTTAATGGGAAAGGATGTGGAAGGCAATGGAAATGAAACTGTTTGAAGTTAACCTTGCAGTGAGCTTTTAAAACAATAAGATCTTGTTCCACTTACTTTATTCACCAGTAAAGTTTTGAGTATTAAGAATGAAAATGCCAAGATATTCTTTTTTCAATCCCAATTTTTCTACAAACGAGAAACTTTATTAGCTCTTATAAAACTTCCTGTAAAAATCAATCTAATTTTTCCATTTCCAACTGCCAAATTCTGACTGTCTTATGTAAGACGTTACATATTACTATCGTCAGCATTTTTCGTTATTGTCATTAAGAACTCAAATAAAGATGACAATTTCGACTTTGCTCAAACTTAATCTTATCAGACTCCAATATAAATGGCAAATTGTCGCCTTTCAAAGTAATGTAAACAGGTTAAAGTGACCACTATCTTAAAAGATACAGTTCATTTTCTATAATTTCTTAGAAAACTGAAAGAACTTTTTTGACATTTTCAGTGAACATATTTGTTGCTCGGAGATAGTGAAGATGAGGGCAATAGGAAAGAAGAGATGGTAATAGATTACTTGTGTTTTATTATTCTATACAGCCAGAATTGGGTTGTTTGAAGGTGTTTCATTATCACAAATAAGCTAGTACTGCTTTCTTTTGTAAATTTATTTGTAAATTGACAGAGCAAATCCTTACGACCGAAAATAATTCCTATTTCAAAGTGTTTATTTTCGATCTTTTAATTAGCAGTTTTAGGATAATTAATTAATGTAACATTATCCGTGTTATTTCTAGTTGCCAATAGCTTTAATTAACAAATTTACACCACATTATAAAAATCACTCTTTTTTTTGCATCAAATGTTAGCGGGATAAAAAAATCTTTTTGAATCTTGAAGCAGACTCCAAATAGGTAGTCAGGATAGTTGGACCTAAATATTCAAGCGGCTAATGACAATATGAGTTTGCTTCAAAAAATTCATTGCTGCGATTGTCGTGGAATGTATTGACTACCATATATTTTATTTTGCCTCAAACTTGCGACAAATCAACAATGATAACAACGCGTAAAGAAAGATATAATTATAAAACACTAAAATAATATCAAAAACCAGCCCCAAAATGTAGAATGAATAACTGTAATGGAGGATGGTTGGTTTATATACAGAACTGAGCTGACAACCAGATATCCGGTAGAGGGCATTTAACTGATGTGAAACAAAGATTGCTAACAAGAGGTTTTTGCTAACGAAGGGTTTTTTTTTATTGTGTCAGAAAAAGGATTTAGCATAATGGCTTAAATGATCTACACATAGATTAGTTACAAATGTGAAATTATTTGGTAAATGACTTATCAGACATCTGGCAGAAGTATTAGAATTTGAATGTAATTTAAATGTATCGTTTTTTACGACAGCGATCAATAGGTATAATAATTATGGTAAATTGAAAACTTGAGATATACAGGAGATTGTTCGCATTTCATATGCAAATATTTTGTTAAAAATGTTATGACCAATTCTGTAAGTATCGCAATATCAACTAATAGTGAGTGAGAGAAGTATCAGATAGTACAAAATATTAACTGTTAGTAAATGATCAGTTAGAACGTTCTCTTCAACTTAAAAAATCTTTACAGAAGTGGTTATATTGGCGGTGCACTTGGCGGGGTATCACTTTTCCGTGAAGCTAACGGTACTACTTCATTAGCTGGTGGTCTTGCTTGGTTCATGATATATCATCTGAAGTTCTTCCCGCGTAATGTTAGTTACATCTCTGGATTGTGGGAGAAGGTAATTTCTTAAGTTCTTTAACATTTGCATCAAAAATCTTAAGTTTAAGATATGAGCAAATGGGCATAATTCTCTTTATGGATTATTCAGAGATGTTATGCAGTAATAATATTTTATTCTGGAATTTCTTAGCTTTTCTCATTTATCTTCCAAATTATAAATGCTAAGTACATACTAACCATATTGGGGATGAAATTATCTGATGAAATAAAAAACTATAATCTGGGAATTACTGAGTAAAGCATTACTGAAAAATAATTTTTGGTATTTCGAAAATGTCTGGTTCGAAAATCGAAATGACATGCATGATATTACTTAATACACATAAATTATGTTATGTGTTAATATTTTTATTTGCAGAAATTACAAGAAGCACTGGACAGTTATCCATTTGACCCTTCCATTACTTTCACTTACTTGCATTCACAAACATTAACGGAAGAGTTGAAACGTAATGCAAATTCATTGATTCCACGATTCGTGATAGCATTTTCTATTCTCGTTTTCTTCTCTCTTCTGTGTTCCTTAATGTTTATCGATGGAACGCTCTATGTAGATTGGGTCCTTTCTAAGCCGGTATTATCACTGCTTGGCGTTATCAATGCTGGAATGGGTATCGTTACCGGTATTGGAATCACTAATTTCTGCGGTAATTTTTTCTTAAGATTACATTACTTATATTCATTTATGAAGATTGTAGTAAAATTTTCTCTTTAATAATGAGCCTTTCTGCTTGGTTTATTTTCCCTGGAATTTAATCTACACTCTAGCCTAACTCAATTCGCAGTTGTTGTCGAAATATCACTTGGACGGAACTGTTAGCAAAATACTGGCTTACTGAAATAAGCCATTTTAGTACTAAACCAGATAATTTCAGGCGTGCCATATAGTGATATCGTTGGTGTGATGCCATTTCTTCTAGTGGCTGTAGGTACTGATAATATGTTCTTGATGGTAGCAGCTGTTC